AGATTGAGATTTCTATCAACTGACCTTGAAGAAACGAAGTCACCGCCAAAACCTCTCCTTGGATAGAAACCAGTGAAACGTACAATCGGCGTCAATCTTTTTAGAGGCCATGCCGACGTTGGCTTAAAGTCTGCTGCTCCAGTCGAATTGAAAGTGCTACTAGCATCCAGGAAAGTGAACAACCCCTGCATGTCAACTAATAGAAGATCATAATCTTGTTGAATATGCGCTAATTCCGAGATATATATTTGTTCTTATAACTATTACCTTTTTAGACATCTGTAACTGTAGCGTATACAACATTTGAATCATTTGCTCACAACCAGTTTTAATTCATTCTTATAATTCTCATTTATTATGTCGTACTCAACAAACTATGCAGTGTGGCTTTTATCAAACTTTCATTTTGTTGAAGTATAATGGTCAGGTAGTTTCTTCGGCCTAAACAACTGTTGCAGTGGTTCATATATCTGCTCATATATCTGAAGCAAGGTGGAAAGCGTGGTTTAAAATGAGCAGTTGTTCTCATGTCCGGGCAAAGAAATTGTTTATGCATGAAGCTTGCAAAAATTAAGTGCCCATAACGTTCATGTTGGATGATATACAGTATCGAACAGCATTATTGAACAAGAGTAGTGCTCTGTTGAAAGGGAGTTATGTTACGCTTGGGAAACAGTTGTGTGTCGAAAACTGAACATAGTATTTAACGAATCCGACACGGTGTAGAACATTATCATATCAACAGAATTTCAACAGACCAAGGGTTACATTACATAACTCAATATCAAAGTAAACATGAATATGAGGAAACAACTGAATTATTAAAAGCAATGGAATTAGAGTGGCTATACAGCAGGTTTTCTCGATTATGGGATAATCAACAAGTAGTATCAAGTCAGCGATGGAGGTACAGATCGTGTAAGAGTAGGCTTGCTTTGCGAGCTTTTGATTAGATTAATAGATATTTCTGAAAGTGGAACGGGCAAATGTAATCTGGTATTGCAATCACCAGATGTTGCTAAATAATCATACTGAACACTTTGCGATAGTGTTGATATTAAGGGAAAGAAGAAGACGGAAATATAAAGATTCAGCAATTCAATAAAACAAAGGATAATAAAATCGACCACTGTAAACAGCAGAGCAAAGCTTGTTTAAACATATGTTGTCAGGCATCTGTTCTTGGAAAAGGAATAAAATTCTGCGACGAATGACCTCGCATTTCGTACTTTATCGAATTGCAGCTGCTTACTCTCTCTGTCTCTGTCTCTCTCTCTCTCTGTCTCTCTCTCTCTCTCTCTCTCTCTCTCTCTCTCTCTCTCTCTCTCAATGGTTACAATAGTGTAGTGCTTTCCTTAACGCGCTCTGGCGGGCGTTTAAAAGAGCCCGAAGTTGCAGGCGCAAGGTACCGGTGTTATGCGTTCAGTAGTCATAGATAGTGATTAGGACAAACAAGCGCAGAAATTTTCGAAATAACATTAGCGGAAAATGTAGTATTGCTCATCCGGACTCGTGAACGTTATCGATTCGCCTGGCTACCACTTTGCAGGTGGCAGCTGAAGTGCTGCTAAACTGCTGAAACCAACTGAAAGGTAACAAAAATGATACTTTGACGCTTAAATCTACTACTCTTATTCAGCTAACTTTGACTGCATTAACCACCTGCACTCTGCCTCTTTAAACGCTGTCTAAAGGCTGAGTTCCGCAGAGTAAATGTGAGTGCGCCTTGGACAACCAAGGAACTAACTAACTTGCTCATTTTATCGGGGCTGATAAAACTCTGCATTGCATTACTAAGTTTATCGTTGCCGTTCGACCTCCAGCTGAAAATACTACAGAAAGCAAAGCTTTGGTTAAAATGTATTTGGACACGCATGCTTTACATGCATCCGTAAGATATGAATAATGCCTTAAACTTAATAAAAATCAGAAGCTGATCATCAGAAAGATCATAAACTCGTTTCAATTTTCAGGGACCGTTGCGAGCATAAGATTCGTACTTGGTGTTGCTACTGTTGTTGCTGCGGTTGTCACCATCACTGGTTTAGACCAATTAAGTGACGTTTCGGATTGCTGCTTTCCACGTCTGTTGATTACACACAATATCCGCAACGAGGTTCAGCCAGTCCATCTTTCTCTATTTGCTTTCGTAGAATGTGGACCCAGAAAGGACTTCAACTGCATCGCTGGCAGTGTTCCACCAGGTCTTAACTTATCCGCATTTTTATCAGGTGCTATCCATGGATCAGGATGGCGTTTAATGCAATGTTTATGGTTGTCCATTCACTATTGAATGTGTTCACTAAATTCAGTAATATTATCACTAGGTATTCAATATTTATTCATTATTGTTGTTATGTATACTGAAGATCGAAGATAAATAGTCAATCTACACATGGCGACGCAGAGATTTAAGAACAAGGTAACGCTAGAAAACGCTAGAATACGCAGCAAAGCATAAGTTGATAGTAATGTTATGAATTTACTTTGAGAAAATTTGAATTTACTTAGATTACTGTATACTTTGAAAAAAAAGTTACCTACGCAGTAAACAGAAAACTTCAATGATTAATATATGATTAAATAACTGTTTAGTCTTGAATTCATTTCTTACAAAGGGCTGTATCTTAATAACTGAGACTGTTAGGAAATGTGAAACAGAGCTAGCAGTAACTGGTGGAAAAGTAATATCGGTATTAAAGTTTAATTTAATCATACACAGGATAGAACTAAGTACAGAGGCTATCCTTCAACTAAGTCTACAAAAAGTCGTAATGCAAAACTAAACTTACAAAGCGTTGAAAGGCAAATTCTGTTGAGGTGAAGGTTAGTCAATATCTTCACCTAAGCTTGACTGTACACAGTTCTTGTTTGAATACAACTTTGCTATCGATATGTTGTTGCTGTAAGCACAATGGAAGAGAGTTTCTTAGAGTTCTTTCTGGGTCACAACTACCGATAGCCCCTCCGGACATCTCGCGTGGAATGTAAACCGGATCTCTCAAACCTGGTGCCACTTCACTAACGTAACTGCTATGTTTCACTCGTGTAACAGTTATTTTATTCCAACGGTGTACGAAAGTACCGGTCTAAAAACTTTCGAAACAAAATTCGCTTGACCACAATGAATCGAATGCTTTTAAGCCAGTTTCCTTATCTACCACAGCTCTGATTTAAAACAAACTAAACTAGCGCTGTAATCTGTAAGACTGAGGAGTACATGTTTCATATCGACATAGGTCATTTCTTTCCGTTCCTGAGAATGATTTACGGCAGAGGGTCTGCGGTGAACCAGATGAAACCATGCATCGTGCCTGAAGCGACGCCTTTATAACTATTTGACATTACACTTCTGTTATTTATCGTGTATAAGTTCTTATCGCGTAAGAGTTTTGAAAGAAAAATGATTCGCTGATTTCCATGAATGTGGAAAGGCTGAACTGCAGAAGCAATGGCACAGTAGTATCTGTGCTCAGTTGCTTGATGTGTAGCACTGTGCAATACATGGACCAAACAAAAGAGCTGACTCGACTTAATCCCATAAAAGACAACGGATTTCATTGCACATACTTTATTAAGAAAGTACAAGCAGTACAACAGGAGTTCACTTTTGCGTCTAGTTCCTTCTTCTGCTAGTCCTTTCTCTCCTTTTTTAAGTCAACATACAAATTTTGAATCATGTTTCTTATCTGTACCGTTATTCGAAACAACAACTTCAATAAATAACATCGTTCTTTAATAAGCATTATTAGCTTTACTGAATTGTAGCAGGCCGTGCAGGCTATGCTAAAAGTGATGTTCCTATGGACAGGTCATGGTAGCACTACATTGGATACGTGCTGATGGTGAACGCAGATTTGCTCTAGCATTCGACGAGCATGTATAGTACAGCCAGTCAGTCGTTTAAGAGGGAACTGTTGCGAACTTATAGTGAAGACTTTGATCTGACGACTTTTTGTCGTGCGAATGAATTTTGTCGTATCAACTGTTTGTAATTGGCAATGAGGCATAAAGTTATACGATCCGACAGTGGTACGTCTCGTCCTCACATGCAAACAAGTCATCAAACGGCTGCCCTCGTTGTAACAGACCCGCTCAGCAGGTTGCTACAGAATAAATTCAATACTTATGAACAACTGGAACAGCCATTTCAGGCTCAGGCATCGATTATACCTTCATAGATTCAACTTAGACAGTCTGTTCAAGTCCGCCACACGTCGAGCAAGTAACTGCTGAAGTCGACCACAGAATTGTTTCCAGGTAGATCACACTCGCAAAATTTGATGGAAACCATATAGCAGTAGTTGTAGCAAACGACGATGTGAAGAAATTTAGCTGTCTAAAGAATGGGGCAATGATTCATGGACTTGGATAGACAGACGAGACTGAATCCAAGATCTTACCGAGACTTCAAACTACTGTATGTATTGAGTTAAAATTACTGATAACAGGCAGATTGCAAATTTTTCACTAAAATTTTCATAAAAATTTGCAGAAGCGCAAAAATATACCGGCCAAAATTGGAACTTGGTCAGAATGTCTCAATTTGAATTGTACCCTGTCTCGATTTGAATCGAGTCAGTGCAATTGTGTGGAGATGCATCGCCACCAACGAATCAAACAACTCACGTGATTGCTAAGACGCTACATAAATTGCTATTTTTGGCATGTTTTGGTCAACTCACAGCTTCGACGTCCATCGCAAGTCAGATTGCGCGTAGGCGATAAGGCCGTTCCGCGCGGACTGGAGGATTTGCGACCATAATTATATTTTGGAAGTGGTGGGCGCCATCACATGATGTGAAAAGATATGGACCCTGTGGTCATAACTGTACGTTTCCTCCTGTCAGCTGGATGCCACATCTGGAACAACGCACTACATAACACATTTTGCGCCGCTAAAGAAAGAATATTCCATAAAAAATGCCGAATTTTCGAACATCCGATGCTTTTTCTCGTAAGAATTTTGCTGCGTTTTATCATGTCTAGGTTTTCCGTTGATGCGGGTGATAGATCTAAAAGTGGTGTTTCGAATCTCCGAGGGCAACGAACTCGTTGACTTCAAGAACATCACATGGCTGAGCCCTGGTACGGTCGATCAGTGCCTACAGAGCAACTGTGGATCGGTCAACGATGGTCAGAACCGAGAGTAAAATTCTACGTCAAGCAGAAACGTATACACAAATTTACTTATAATGCCCGACCGAAATC